TAGTAGTAAAGTAAATAATTATACTACAAACTAAAATAAGTAAGTAGTACGTACTACTACTTACGTGTAGTAAATAAAACTAAAACTAAGTAAGTAAACTAACTACTCTCTCTCTCTCTCTCTCTCTCTCTCTCTCTCGCTCTCGCTCTCGCTCTCGCTCTCGCTCTCGCTCGTGCTGTCGTTGCCCGACATCTTAGGCCTTGACAGCAAGGCAAAATCTCTCTCTCTCTCGTGCTGTCATTGCCTGAAATCTTAAGCCTTGACAGCAAGGCAAAATCTATCATTTTCATCCCCAGATGTGAGAAAAGTTCACAGATGTTGAAACCAAAGACACTATAGAGACAAAACCATCAAAACCAAAGGAAAAATAAAAAAGATAATAAAACTAATTTGTGAAAAACAAGTAATCAACTCTCTAGGGAATATCATCTGAGACATTACCATGCTACCAAATATGCCTAGCTCCATGGCCCTTGCCGAGAATTGCCTTGAACGATTTTTAACTCCATTGGGGTTATCAGAATGCTTTCTTGACATATAGAAATGCTCAGGCCAACTCATGAGACCGTCATGTTCATGAATTGGACGACCTGGAAGATCATAAGAATTCGAAATCCAAGATCCAGATCCTCTTTGCAAGGGACCATCAGTTTGCACTGCAGCCACATCAAAGAAGATGACTCTTGATCTTGTCTCCACTTGATAATAAGCCCCTTGACGAAAACTGCTTAATCTTCCATCTTTAGAGACACCAAGACAAGGAAAATAAATTTACCAAAATATGAGAATATAGCCCTTAAACCCTGAAATGAGGACATGGGCATAGAATTGTAGAAATTATTTCATATACATTAATTGACCTACAATCAAATTGAAAACCTCACATAATAGAGGTTCCTTGTCACCCAAATTGCAAGCATGCCACACATTATGCTATGCATCCCTTCAAGTGGAATTTCACATAATAGGAATAAAGGCTTAAAACAATTCCCCAGTTAACATAATTATGCAAGGACAAAGTGATGCTTAATTTTCTACTCTGAGAGGTAGTTAGAGAGAGAAACATTATAACTACAGGTCTACGTGGAAACAATATGACCAAGGGATTCTGGAGACACATTAGCCTCCAAGCGGTTGTCCATAAAGTTCATTTGTAATGGGTTCAGTGGAGAGATGGATCGGCAAGGGTGGGCACTTTCCCTATACAGATGTTCAAATCAGTTTAGTATTAGGCAAGCCTGTAATTGGTGGAGGCTGCAAGAGATTAAGTTCCATACACAGCATTTCTTCATCCTGTTGGAGAAAAAGAAAGATGCAATGAATACATGGACTTCGTGAGGAGATAGAAAGTGCTCCTGGTTCATACATGGTTTAGTAGAATTGAGTTGTGATTTCTCATGGTACTTGGAAGGTTTCAAGCGGAATTACAACACAGAGGCAAGGCAACAAATACCATGAAGTCTTTTGCAGCTCCAATGGCCCAAGAAATAGATATCTCACTATAACATTTACTCTACCTAGCTTTTTGTTATATGCTTATTGGACAGATATACATATGTAACGAAAATTTCAGAATCTCTAGCTCGTATGATATTGGGAGATAGGATTACCCATGATTCTTTAGATGATAAATTGGCTTAACCCTCAAGTAAGCAAGCCAAGCACAGTACACAAATTAAGGGCAAAGTATCTTATAACCCAATCGACTGCGTAAAACAGTAGTCGACTGGAGTCATCACCATCCAATAATAGGACACTAACAGAGATTACACTCTCTCTCCATCACCATTAGTTAACTCCTTGGATGGTGGATGCCTAGTATCATGCTATAACTCTATGATATTGGGAGCCCATGATTCTTTAGATGATAAATTGGCTTAACCCTCAAGTAAGCAAGCCAACCACAGTACACACATTAAGGGCAAAGTATCTTATAACCCAATCGACAACATAAAACAGTAGTCGACTGGAGTCATCACCATCCAATAATAGGACACTAACAGAGATTACACTCTCTCCATCACCATTAGTTAAGTCCTTGGATGGTGGATGCCTAGTATCATACTATAACTGTATAATAGACTGATGGATTACTATAATTTACTTTCCTTATATTGATTGAGTCCCTAGCCAAATAATATGCTATCCTTGAAATTGGTGCATTAGTACTTAAACATCACACAAGCTATTACCTGAACATGAAAGCCTCTGTTCTGCATGAGAGGGCAGCAATACTGCTGGAGAAGTAACCAAATCTTCTTTTCTATATTGGGTTTTGACAAAGCCCTCCAATATGAAGGCAACAGAATGAGGAGGTATCTCTATGACTTCTCCACTTAAATAAATGTTCATGGTTGACCTTTCTGCAACAAGAGCCCTCAATTCTTGCATTGGCATTTTCTCAAATTTTTGAGGAAATAAGAGTTTGGCTACGACTATAGCACTTTCCTGTGTGTCAAGTCAGAAATAATCAGGACCCAATATATCACAAAAAAAGTTAAAATCAGTAAGTTTTTTATGAAGTTGAAATATAGTTCTCGATTTTGCTTAATTTTGGATATTTTAACTGAACCAAGAAAATCTTAAATAATCTATATCTAATTCAAAGTTTCAGGAAATCTCAACAGATCATATAATCAGCAACTATTGTTTCATTGTTTGAAAAGCAACTGCTACTGCAGAATCTAACTGAGTGCCATTTACTCATTCTTTAAATTTATGTATTACAGTTTACATGAATTTAATAAACGATCATTTAGTAACCTGCTTGTTTAAATCCTGTTCTCTTAATTCAGCTATCATGGTTTATAAGAATTTAATAAAGGGTCCATTTAGTACGATGCCTGGTTTTATTCTGTTTGGATACAAACAGTTCCCTCAACCATCCGTTGTTAACAGCAAACAGTTGGGAGCATCATTCATCTGTTCAAAGTCAGTTAAAACTATGATGGAGTTTGAGTAAAAGAACAATCATCCCCACCATCCTTTGTTAACATAGATATTTGAAGAAGCAGTTTGTATCTGCATAAGCTATAATCAGGTAGCATAATGTACTTATCGCTTTTCTTATTGATAACCACCCCCCCTCCC